CACGCTGCTATCACTGTGGGCGGGGCGGTCATTTGGCAAAGAAATGCTACAGTGCTCCAACTGATGACAAGGTGGGAAGGCGGGCAGCGTGTAAAGGCACTGACAGTTGAAACCGCGTCTAGCAACGACAACCTGGATAGTGCACACGTGTGGACGTTGATTTCGGGAAGAAAAAACGGTTTGGAACCACCCATACGCCGCATGTTTCGATGGGGCAACGTAGACCTTGCCATGGAAGTGGATACGGGTTCCCCGGTGTGCGTCGTATCGCGCCAAGTGTACGATCGACACCACGCACAGTGGCCGCGCTTACAACCACCACGAATCAAGCTGTCATGTTACGCAGGACAGCTTCCGGTGTTGGGGGAACTCGAACTTCCAGTGAAGTATAAAAGTGTATCTGTGCCTTGCCCGCTCATCGTGCTTGACTGTGCAGGACCCAGCCTATGTGGCCGTGACCTCATTGCTTTGCTTAGCAAGACGGGCGTTCCCATTGGAGACCTGACTGCGCCGGACCCTACAGCAAGCGCCGAGCCAAGCGACCCTATGCTGAACCGACTGCTCGGCGAGTTCGAGGATGTTTTCTCAACAGACCTTGGACTAATCAAGGGTCCACCAGCCAGCCTAAAACTCAAGGAGACAGCTACACCGAAATTCTGTAAGCCCAGATTTCTTCCTTACGCCCTTCGCGATAAGGTCTCTCGTGAAATTGATCGGCTGGTGTCACTTGGTGTTCTATCGCCCGTGCAACATGCAGAATGGGCTACACCTATTGTGGTCGTTTTGAAAAAGGATGGGAGCGTAAGGATATGCCGTGACTTTAAGGCTACCCTTAACCCGGCATGTGAGGTGGAGCATTACCCTCTTCCGGTGATAGAAGACATGTTCGCAAGCTTAAACGGAGGCGAATATTTCAGCATCTTGGATTTAAAAGATGCATACAATCAAGTGCCCCTTGACAAAGCGTCCAGCGGGCTGTGCGTCATTAACCCGCACCGAGGGCTTTTCCGGTATAACAGACTTCCGTTTGGAATAGCTCTGCACCGGCCATTTTTCAAAGAAAGATGGATGCAGTACTCAGCGGGCTGCCGGGTGTTCAAGCCTACCTTGACGACGTGCTAGTGTCAGAAGGCAAGAGTGATAACGGAGAGCAGCTCAAGAGAGTGTTAAAGCGGTTCCGAGAGCACGGCGTTAAACTTAGGATTGACAAATGCAAGCTTCGGCAACCTTCTGTGACTTACCTTGGCCATCGTAGAGATCGGCAAGGCCTCCACCCCATTGAAAAGAACGTAGACGCCGTCATGCAAGCCCCGCGCCCGCGTAACGTTAGCGAATTGCGCTCGTTCCTTGGCATGCTCACGTTCTACGCACGTTTCCTGCCCAACATGTCGACTGTGCTCAGCCCCTTGTATCAGCTCATGGAAAAACGAGCCCGTTGGGAATGGCGGGAACCGCAGCAGTCAGCGTTCGAGAAAGCGAAAGAAATGTTGAAGAATGCCCAGCTTCTCGTTCATTTTGATCCCAACAGGGAACTGAAGCTAGAATGTGATGCTTCCCCGTATGGCGTGGGTGCTGTTCTGTTTCACTCGGCGGGAAATGAGCACAGACCAATCGGTTTTCGCTCCAGAACGTTAACAAAAGCGGAGCGAAACTACTCTCAGCTGGAGCGAGAAGCCTTGGCACTGATTTTTGGCGTTTCTCGTTTTCGTGACTACCTCCTAGGTAGGCAATTCACCCTGGTAATCGACCATCAGCCACTGCTGGGACTGCTCAAACCTGACCACCAAACGCCGTCGATGGCCGCCGCGCGCATTCAACGGTGGGCACTGTTCCTAGGAGGCTACCAGTACAAGCTACAGTACGTTCCGGGGAAACAACTACTGGCAGCAGATGCCCTTAGCAGACTACCAGCCCCGGCGGCAGCGGAACCAGTAGCCGAAGGGGAGCCTCCCGAGTACGTCCCGTCGTTGGAGGCCCTGGACGAAGGTATAGTGACGACGCACGAGTTGCAGGAGCTCACTGCCAAGGACTCGTTGTTAGCCCGTGTCGTGGAATACATCTTGCATGGCTGGCCTCGAACAACAAGTGGAATGGTGCCCGACTTGCTGCCCTTTTTTGATCGCAAAATGGAGCTGTCAATGGCTCACCGGCTAATTTATTGGGGCAACAGAGTCGACATACCATGGAAGGCGCAGGAAAGGATGTTGCAGCTGCTACATGAAACACACCAAGGCTCCTCATCAATGAAAGCGGTGGCACGGTCACTGTTTTGGTGGCCAGGGATGGACAGGGAGATTCAGGAATTGTCGGCGCAGTGTGTAAACTGTGTAGAAAACCTGCCCATGCCTGCGGCAGCACCACCGGTGAGTTGGCCGAAAACGGCCGAGAGGTGGTCCCGAATCCACATCGATTTTGCGGGCCCATTAGCCGGCAAGATGATACTTGTGGTGGTAGATGCTCACACGAAGTGGATTGAAGCAATACCTATGATGCATGCGAACACAGCGGGTACTATTCGCTGCTTACGAAGTCTGTTTCGTCGGTTCGGAGTGCCACGCACAATCGTGTCCGATAATGGCACGCAATTTACGAGCCAGGAGTTCGCCACGTTAATAGCAAGAAACAATATTGTGCACTTGCGTACAGCGCCTTTCCATCCTCAGTCGAATGGAGCAGCGGAAAGAGCAGAACCTTTGAGGATGGCTTGCGGAAAATGCAAGATGGTCCACTAGAAGATAACATCATGCGCCTGCTATTCCATTACAGGAGGATCCCGCAAAAAGAAGGAAAGTCACCCTCGGAGATACTTCTCGGTTACCAGCTGCGGTCCCGTCTCGACACCTGCCTGCCGCCCAGGGATGGGAACTGGTCGCCGGGTGCTGACGATTGGACCATCTCGCCAGGAAGCAGCGTCTACGTGCGCAACTACGGTGCCGGTAAAATATGGACGCCTGGACGCGTAAAAGCTGTGTCGGGGGCGAGAATGATAGCAGTGGACACACCAAGAGGGTTAGTGCAGCGTCATATCGACCAAGTCCGCCGCCGCCGCGAATCGACGCCAGAGTCTGCAACTGCGGGGACGGCTGAAGGCGCGGACGCTGAAGCTGAATCTGCCAGCGTGACTACTCCTGTCCCGTCTCCTGCGTTGCAACGCATGTCCAGGCGGAATGAGCAAGAGCGAAGCCCAGAGCTACTGGCCACGGATGGTCGGAGTGAGTTTTCCCCACCAGCTGCTACGGAACCTCCAGTCGCTACGGACGAACCCTCGCCTGAGGTGGTCCCGCATCAGCCAACGCTGAGGCGATCGACAAGAGTTAGGAACCCGGTACAACGGGTCCACTTTTAAGAGGAAAGAAATGTTGTATTTGTTTCGTTTATAACGCCAGCAAAACCAGCTGCGCGCGCACCATTTCGTTTGGGCCCTGTGCGCCTTCATTCTTCCTTTTTCCCCCTCCCTTCACCCTCTCCTAATGCCAATGTATATAACCACGCTGCGGACAATAAACGCTGTCAATGACTGCCCGACCATCGTCCTTGTTGCTTAGCTGCACGCGCCTGTGTTACGACAACCTGTAACTGAAGAAATTGAAGCAGTGTCAAAGTCACTCACCGAAATGAAGCAGACACATAATGCTAAAGTTTACCTCTCCTTAATTGAATTCGTCCTGACGCTTAATTATTTTAAATTTGATTCGACCTACTACCTACAATGTTACGGCACTGGTATGGGAACCCCTTTTGCGTCAACATGCGCCAAAATTTTTACGGGACATTTAGAATAGGGACTTTTGAAATAACCTGCAGTAAAGCCCTCTACCTATCTCCACTACATAGACGACATGTTTACTATATGGGAGCACAGCATAAGCGCACTAAACACGCTCATTGATCAATGTATTAAGTTTCATTCTACTATTAAATTTACTATGCACCATTCTCCCAATGAAATCAACTTCCCAGACATGACAGTATCTATTGAAGCAGGAAAATTAAAAGATTAATCTTTACAGAAAACTGACAGGCAGCCACAAATACCTAGATTACACTGGTCACCACCCGCAGCACTGCAAACAAGAAATTTTCATCGGACAAGCGAGACTATAAGAAGGATCTGAAGCCACGACAGTGACTGCGTTCCCCACTTGACTAACGTAAAGGTTACTAGCTAAAAAGCCCCCTTAGCACAACCCAACCAGCCGCCAGCATTTATAATGAAATACTCGAATGTGCTCCCAAACATAAATAATATTGTTCGTAAGTATAATGCTGTATTGACAAGCAACGAGCACTTTAGAAAAGCGTTTCTTGAAGTAAAGATCGTGTATCGCCACAACAGAAATTTTAAAGACATGTTAGAGCATGCAAAACTAAACTCTCATTCTACTGCCAAAGTAACACCTTGCTCCCGTCCAAGATGCAAGACTTGCAAACTCCTTCAAGATGACATGATAGTTGAAAGCATAGGAGTGATTATGTCCACCATATAAAATCTAGTTGTACCTGCACCAGTGAAAACGTTATTTACATTGAAAAAGCAGGACAGCTTAATAATTTTAGATTAAACGGTCATCGCGTGGACACGGCAAAGAAATTACCAAAAGCAGTGGCACAGCATTATAATGTAGCAGGGACACAACTCTGACGATTTGAAGCTCTACATTCTTCAGTCAAACTTCCAGTCCGCAAGAGACAGAAAACATACAGAGTCGTAGCTTATTCACAAGTTCAATACACTCCAGTCCGCAGGTATAAACGTTTCTAAAGGGACCCTTGAATCAATTCAATATAGAACATACTAAAAAAACACCACTGCGAATTAAGCCCTTCGTCTAGGAATTTCAAACCGGCCATTGTTGACTTCTGACAACCAGTTCGACAACCAAGAGCCTGCAACACGTGTAAATCCTCAACTCCCCACTACTTTTACCAAGCAACAGATCACCAGGCACAGAGCATGCCTTTTGGCTGCAATACCTTTTCACAGACATGGAAAATGGGGATATGCTTCCGAATGAGCACTTTATTGTCAGAAAAGCAAAATGACAAGGTGCCTCCAGCTTTGTCATTGTAAAACATAGGTAGGCTGTAGGAGATGAATGGCCTCAACATGAAATGACTATGTCATAGCTAACAACTCTGCAATGATAAAGATATATGGTACAACCAGCAGCTTAACAGGACACCTCTCAGGCAGCAAACATTGGCGGGCTTTACGGTATTACGTGGTTGGGATCCACTCAATACATCACCCAAGAACAGCAAGGAAAAAAAACAACACTTGCACCAATGCAGTTTTCCTGGAAATTCTTACCAACACTAACTACACAAGGGTAAAACCTTTCCTTCAAACAAGCTCATAAGATTGACACAATTATGTACAATTGTTCAAGAAAAACAGATCAGCTGATTGCCTGCTTGCAGATGCAAAGTAAACCATCACATCTGTCTGATATAAGAATTTTGCACATGCCAGTAATAAAATCAGTTCATTAGATTAAGTCAAACAAACTACAAATGCATGTATATCAAAAGCTCACAGTTCAGAATTACAGTATCAGCATAAAAGTATTTATTGGCTTGACAAGAATGTAAATCTCATGTTTCTTTTGATTCACAGCTAACAAAAGCAACTTGAACAACCGCCGGAAGTCTTTTTATGGGGAGCAAAAGAACTTAATTTCAGCAAGCTTTGCATGATACAGGCCTGCAATACATTCAATTAGGTCTGACGTCTCAAAAACGGCATAGCAGTGCACGAATTCACAGACAAGTGGCCATTCCAAAAAGTAATAAAGACATATGCAACAAAACTACATAAAGATGTAAAACCAAAAATATACACAAAAGGATTTCAGCCGTGTTGTGCCATGATCAGTGAAATGTGAAAGATGAAACAAATATTTGTAGTAACAGTGAATATCAAAAGGCTGATGTCTGTGCCAATAGCATGTTTTAACAGGCTAGCACAGATTGAACATCATCGACACGCACAGAAATCAACAATTTTCTGTTCCAGTGATAATGTGCGGTAGAATAAGTAAGGGGAAGGAGAAAAGAAATGAAGAGTTAAGCAACCAATGAAGTACAGTGCAAAATTAGGCCAGAGAATTCTAAACAGACTTATTGTACAGAATGTTGGCCAGTAATGGGGCTCGTTCAAGTGCTGGTGACTATAGCACACACATTACAATGACTACTTTTGTCTACAAGCACTTTCTGTCAGCTTACCACCTGCTCTGTATTCCAGCCAAATATAAAATGTCCTACAAAGCCAATTGAGAAGCAGGACACTGAGGAAAAAAATAAGCATAGGAGTGACTGATGCAGAAAAACAAGGGTTTTTCTATCTCCACAAGAAACAAATAATAACTTTCAACTAGACAGATGCATCTTTGTACTCTCTCTATATATATACACGTGCTACACTATCCTCGCCTTATATGTTGCCACTCAACATGTAAATTATTTCACTGTGAACAAACATGTCAGCCAACACATCTGTCAGCAATATTAAAAGAGGACATAGTGGGCAGCAATAACTAATGATGACCACGCGAACAGTTGTGGCAGGCAGAAATGAGCTTAGGATGCCCTGCATATAAAGCAGAAAGAAAAATGTAGGGAAAATAAAGAAAAGGATCAGGAAGAGAGCCCTGTTTACAAATGAAGCACAAAGTGAAGTGAGGTATCCTACGGCAGGCTAAGTCGCAACGGGTGGAATGATGGTGTGAGCTCAAAGTGCATCACGTAATGCGCCTGCGTTTCCTTTCCACAGGTGCAGTGGCAGGAGCGGGAGGAATGCGTGCTCTTCGAGAAACGCCATTCGTGCTGCCGTCACTGGGTGTTCTTGGTGAAGCTGTGAAAAGAAAGGAGGAGACAACCCCTGAGCTGCACTACTGCTGCTACACGAGAACTCACCAAGGTACACGCACAAACCTGTTTGTACAGAAAGCGAAACACTAGCAACAAAGTGCCACTAAGGGCTGTAATCGCATGAAAATCTGGTGAAGCGACATTAAAATACCATTAGTCCTTACATAAATCTTAAAATGCAATTTTAATCGCTTTTTGCTGTGTAGCAGTTAGCTGACGTTCATTGCATGTGATGAGAATGTGAACACACAACATTATCAGTTTTACTACAGTCCTGAAAAGTGCTCATTCATTCCTGCAACATTGAGATTTTTGTACATTTAGAGCTTCTTTCATGTATGACAATCAAACCTTTCCAAACACAGGCACTCGACTCACGACTCACCTGGAGGGTACCTGCTGATTGGTACAGCTGGCAGAGACTGGAGCCTAGGCGAATTTCTCACGAGGTCTTGCACAGGCCGGTCATCATGTTGGCCTGAACCCTGGAGGCTTGCAATGCCCTCATCCACCACTGCCAGCTCCTTCTTCAATTGCTCGTAGTCATTCTTCTTCATCACAAAAGTGGTGTCCTTCTGCTTTTGTTTCTCCAGTTCCGTCCGTGCATCTCGCTGTTTTTTCATGGCCCCACTTAGCTTCTTCAGGAGCTCTGAAAATTGGGACAACTGCAATCACAACTCTGTGTTCTCACAGTTCTACTCGTGCTGATCTCGTGAATAAGCAGCTACATTGAGCCACTTCCTGTAGACTTCCTTAGCGCACGTTGGTCCAGAGCTGTCAGACTGATAATAAAGAAAACACATTGTAATGCAGTTTGTGAAGCATTAGAACCTGAAGGTTGTTGGTTTGGTCGCAGCCAGCAGCAAGTTATCTTTTTGTCCACCTTTCTTCCTTCACATTACAATTGCTACAATAACATCTCTATACTTGCCTTGGCATCATTGTCTATTTCTCCCAATTATATTGTTCCTTTCTCTTAGCACTTACAAACAAACTAGCGGCAATTCTGTACACAAGATATACTGTTAATGTGGATGTCGTAATGAATGCAAACTAGATTTACGCAAAGTAGTGGACGACCTGCAGGCAAAGTCTAATAACATGCTTACTAATATGAACTCAGTGTGCTCTCTGGTACACGCCAGACTTTTCTACATGCGCAGGAAGCTCTCTAACACCATGGAGAAGTCTAAAATGCTAATTGACCACACCCAGGTACCAACTGTACCAACGATGCAGGCACTTGGTTTGTACATCCAAGAAAAGCCTAGAATTCAATAACAGCTAAAAACGTCAATACAAAAGCCCATAATTTTTTAATATTCGAAAATGCGACAAATCTGAGTGAGGTACTTATCCTTCCCTTAGGCTGTTTGATTCAATAGCAGATTCTAATATATGTGACTGTGTGCAATACAATGCACCAGTACATGCATCTCATGGTGCTTTTATTCAAACAGCAATATGCTTGCAATTTGCATTTAACAAGATTTTAGTGCTGTGTAGTGTGCAATAGAAAGCATTGGTACATTCACTGCATCATGCTTCTTGTCGGCACCATGCTTGCCAGCTTATGGCCCCCTAGCTTTGGAGGCTATGTTGGAAGCCTTGCCAGCTAACTTTGCCACAAGATGAAACCACACTGCTTTTGTTCAGTGGCTGCTTAACACTGTCTAACATGAAAAGGTGTATTTGGAAACAACCACAATTACATCACCAATTTGATCTCATACCTCCTTATAGACAATGTTCATTGTCTATATTTTCCTGTGTGTGGCAAAGAAAAAACTATGTTAAAATTGTAGATAAACGTCATAGATACTCAAGTTAAAAATTGTAGATACTCAAGTTAAAAATTTATAGATGCAAAGTAATATACATGTGAACTTTTTCTATTAGATATTGTAGTTCATTATTCTGACACCTTAAACACAAGTTAACTCTTCTTCTTCAAAAAAAAAAAAAAAAAAAAAATCTTTCACTAGCAATGTTGCAGCACATAACTTTGAAATAGTATGCAATGTGCGTCCACTTACGAATTTGGTCTTGCACTATGTCAAGGTCCTTCGTGGGCGGCTCCCCAAAGACGTTGCCCTGAAGCTGGCCGATGGGAGGTGCCCGGTTCTGGTGGCCACCAAACTTACCCGTGCTTGCAATGCGCTCACCTGTCTTGGCCAGCAAGGTTGGGCAGGCACAGAACTTCGTCACCTGCAGGGCCAAGTTGTGTGTCACTTTACATGAGCCCGGGTTCACCATTCTACAGACCAAAAGCCCTTAGCAACATGAGGAAAACAAACAATCGTATAAAATTAAATTAAAATCTCTAGAATACGAAAATAGGCCACTATTGCTGAAAGCCAAGGCTTGGTAGTTTGGCATGACAGGAAGCAACACAATAGTAGAAAGTGAGTGATGACATGTGGGTTAATTGTCCAGTGCAGCTTCCCATCATATCAAATTATGTCTACAATTATGGTCAAGAAAGTCAGTTGGTTGGAGAGAACAAAGAAAAGCAACTGAATTGGCTTCATATAACATCAACTTATTAAGTTCGTAGGCATTTCAGGACAAAAAAAAAAAAGTCAGATGCTCAAGTCTGTGGCATTACAAGACCACACTAGCAGTAACTACTGGTAGATACAGTGCAAGTATGCTTCACGAATTGGCACAGGTAATTTTGGTGAATAATAATGACAGGATCTTTACGAAATGTCCTATATTTATTTTGGTTTAGTACATACTTGAAGTAATTCACAAGGCTGCATTAAGGTTGAAGTTACAGAATTATAGTATGCACATGCATAACAATATTTTTCCAGACAGTGTTACTTGCCTCTGTCCTATACTTGGTAGCATCATCCAATGAGTCTAAGACGATGGTCTCCCCAATGAAGTTGGCAAACACTGAAATTCAAGAATGTTTAAATTCATAAAGCTTTTGAATGGTGACAAGTAAACATCAAAGCAAACTAAATCTAGACACACCAGCTCCACTAAGACTTTGACCCTGTCACTGATGCACCAGTGTGTTCATTGTGCATTAAAGGGGTACTGACACAAAAACTGTGGCCTCACATTTGTCTGCTGCAATGTGTTGCTGTGGGCCTGTTAGTCATGCCACAACACATAGTTTGCTGCAGCACGCGACAGATAATTAATCACCGGGTCCTCATTATCGACCAGTTTCTGTTTCAGTATGAGAGAGCTCCAAAAATTGGGTGTAACTATCGCCACCTAGCGTGTGCAGCTCTTGATCACACCAGCACACAGATCTGTGACAAACTTCCACACGGTCCGCATGAAGAATTACTTTCAAATATGAAACGGAAATGCAGTGTCCCCGAACACAAAACTGTCAAAGTGTACGCCACGGCCATGCCGTCGCAACCAGCAACCAAGAAGTTCAGACTGCGGGAACAAACACTGCAAAAAAAAAAAAAAAAAATGGGGCTACGACGTCATCATAGCTTGTTTTATTGACTGAAGCATGATGATGGGAGAGAAGTAGGGGGTCCCCAAAGGGTCCCCTGGGGTGTCAATGGCTCGATGGAGTCGAGGGCTTGCACAAACTTCAAAACTAATTTACCTTACAAGCTAAACAAGCTGTTGATATTTTGCAGATGATATAGGAACGTTTACGGGAATCGACAGTGCAGGCTATCTCAGCTGAGAAATTTTGTGTCAGTACCCCTTTAAAAAATTTGCACCAGAGCAGAAAACTGGCATGTTTATCGTGACTCTACTGGTTTGGCGCGAAATAATTGAATCTCTTGAATCTTTCTCCAAGCCCATACTTTCGTTCTTCAGTATGTTGGTACGTGTACTGAAGAATACAGAGTGACCGCGCCCACTCTTCTTTACTCCAGTTACTTCATGCATGTTGCTCTCTCAAGTCAAGTGACCAAGTAGCATGCTTGTGATTACCCGTAGAAAAATTGTTCCGTCATATGCCACAGGCTTTCAAGTAGTTCGTAGCAGAATTTACCCTCAGAAAGTCGGGAATCCCACTGTATGCAACTGCTCCCATCACTCCCATAGCTCACCACTGCACCCAGCTTCTTTGACGCCTTGAAAGGCTCAAGACGGCCCCAGACGCTGGCACCACGTTTGTTTTTTTTTTGAAGACAAACCCGAAGCTCTGCTCACTGGTCTGGGACCTCTTACATTCATGTTCGTTTTTTGCGTGTTTGGCAGCCTGCACGCGGCCCGTGACTGTCCAAACGTTTCTTCTCATCGTCTGCTCAGGTTTTCAAGTTTGAAGGTAATAATTTCCATTACGGTGTACCAATTTCGATAATCTTTTTTGCACTCATCTAAGTATTGGAAACTACACAAACTCTAGTGCTGCGGAATACAGAAGAAAAAGCGTCGCAGGGCCGTAAGACGAAGCTTAAGGATTCCTCAAATTTTTTTTTTGCCTATGTCTCCAAGCATAAAGATTTTTATGGGTCAAAAATGTAGAAAAAAGGACACAACTGAAAGCCAGCAAAGCCTGAGCACACATGTTATGGAGAAGGCCGGCTGCCTTGACAATGGCTCTAGTGAAAATGTGCAGTCAGCATTTAATATGTGTAAGTAAAGTCCCCTTGTTCGCACGTACTCTGTGATTAGTCTTTTTTTTTTTTTTTTCAGATTAAACACAAATTTCAAACTCTCGTATGAGTGTCTGATAATTGTGGTTAATAACCAAGAGCTAAATTTTTTCCTAATCCCGATGAAAGCTTTGCTTAAACAGATTCACAAATCATATGGCATTTACACATTTTTTGCTCACCAGTTCGACACACTTCAGGGTCCTTCCGAAATATAAAGTAGTCTAGTGCAAACTTCGGATTCCCTGTTGGAGTGAATGACTTGTTCCTTAGGTGAGGCAACGCCCTGTGAAGATGCAAAAATTGGTTGTCATGTTTTGCCGTCAATTACAAAAGCGTTTAAACCCATTTTTTAGACAAGCAATGATAATTATTTTTAACAGGATGCAAATTCTCCATTTAAGTTCAATGAGAAGGCAACCATGGCTAATAGGGCAGTTTGCACACTTTCAGTACTGTGATAATTTCCGCATCCCACTGGATCATGCAGCAAAGATCCACCCTTTTTTAAAAGCATTGGCTGTGCTACATTTCAGTGTTAGAGTTTAGCTACAATATACTGTTCAAACATGAAGAAGCAATGCTGAAAAGGTGTGAGTTAATAGTGAATGATGACTTAGATTCAAGAATTTCACAGCATCACAGGAACACACACAACTCACTTCGCTGTATTCCTCTTAAAAATTGAGTCCAGAGCGATGACCTGCTGTTTTCCATTAGTTTTGCGGTAGATATCCTTCGCCTGAAAAAGAAAATATGTAAATTAGGACAGTGTCGCAGTAAAATTCAATCCAAAGAGGAAAATAGTAAAGTGAAGCAAACTCACAGAAGTAACACATATTAAAATTTTTTTTCTCACATGTTCCTAGATCAGTACACATGTTTCCCTAAGCACAACTGAACCCTGAAGTCAGTTAACACTGTTCCTTTGTCTTGACTGTAACAATCAACTTTCAATAACACCAGCACTAGATTGGGGCATGTACCTGTGCTACAACAATTAAAATATCGTTAAATAATAAGTGAAAAGTGTTCCCCCGACCTACTAGCAGTACTTCGTGATAGTTTTTCCTGTCTTCAATTTTCGATTGTTTATTATTTTTTTTATCTGACTTTATTGGCTTGCTCAACCTTTTTTGCATAGCTCATCATTCGTCTTAAGTTTGTTGTTTTAGTGTATATAATAAAATTCTCAATAAATTCAGTTGGAAGATAGCGCTCAGCCTTGTTTGTCTCTGTGTTCTTTTCTTCAGCTCACGCTTCAGCATTCATGACGACACACCAGCTAGCCCATGACACTACCTTATTAGCAGTCCTTTGCCACCCGTGAAAACAGTTTTTTATTTTAAATATGTTCAGATATCAAAACATTCAGATTTGTTCTGCAGCAGAAATATCTTCTCTATCTGTTCATATTCGACCACTACGTTAGTTTTTACAACTACCGATAGACCTCCCTGAAACCAATACCGATGTTTTGTGAAAACAAAGCCTACTTTTTTATCAGTAAAACAAACATATTTGGGCAAAAATTCGCAGGATACATCGGGATCAGTTTGTAATCACAGTAATGCATTGGGTGATACTGACAAGTCTTAAACACCAAGTTTCTGAAAACCTCAGCTTATCCTTTGTGATGGCATGCTTGCAAGTGATGGCACCCTGACACATCCCTTTCCCGCATGAGGAATCTCTCTACGCACTGGTCTTAGTCGGGACAAACAGTGCCACTTTTATCGAACTTGGGTTTGCAAAGCTGAGTACGGCCGATGCGTACGCTAATCACCGCAGTTACTGCAGTGCAAGCAGATATGTCCGTAGTTTCCATCTAATTGTGTTCTTTTTGTGTTTTTTCCAGCATGTCCCTAACGATGTGCATGTAGGCCAGTGTGCTGTTTCGTTTGGACTGTAGGATTGAACACCTATGGAAATAGTGGCACACTAAGTATCTTGAGGCAGACTGACGTTGATCCTGGCTACTACAGCTCAGTTGCTTACATACACAGGCACTGAACTCACTTGAACATGCCACTCACCAATCAATGGCTGACAAAAATCAAGATAAAAAAAAAACTAGGAGCTGGTAATTGACCAAACAGGAAACTTATGGCAACTGAGAGAGGTCCAAGCTATGAGCCTGACGACTTTTAGAGTCTTGCAACCTTTCAATAATATACATGGCCTTTTTTAGAAAACTTCTTGTTTTTCTGAAAACTTCATTTTTAGTTGTTCTTTTTGCACCAAAAGTCATAACTTTTCAATGATCCAATAGTTTTCAATGAAATTTTCCATGCTTCTTGATGGAACATTTATCTATGCATTGAACTAGGATAATTGAATATCAACAATAAATCGGTGTTACAAGATATTGACTGAATTAAACTATCTGAAATGACACAATATTGGGTTTTTTGCCCATACTAAATACTGATGACAGCACAGAGATTGTAGTTCATTGCAAAGTGTAAATTTGCAGCTAGATCGTTTCCAAGTGATTTTCATTTTGTATTAGAGGACCGATAGCTATCACCATTTAAGTGATGGGCATACTTTGGGTAATTTTGCTAAATCAATTAGTACTTGTCTTCCACAGCATATTATCTTCAGCTGTATAACATTATGAAGATACATTACCTGCATGCATTCCATGTTATGCATTAATTTTATGCGTCCTCGCCCACTGTCAAGCATTTTATTACCCCAATCGCACTGCTTCAACAATACAGTAATCCACGTACACACTCCGCTGACCTATGGCTTATACCACATTTCTGTACTTCTTATAAACTGCAGTCCTTAAAACACAACCTTCCATCAATTCTTACACAAGATATAGGAAAGCCCACGTTAACATCTGTACGTCAAATATTTTTAGGATTGTCAGTATGAGTACTTCATTAGGCTACAGGCAAAAGCTAATGAAACATCTACATCATGTTCAATAAATCTTGTAGCGAACTAGCTCAGTCTTTCTTTCATATTTGTATTTTAGTGTTCCATATACAGTCTACTGTCGATTTTTCAGACACCCGAATTTTCGGACATGCCCGATAACTCGGATATTTTCGCGGCACTACCACGAGCCCCATAGAATCAATGTATAAGGAAGCCTGAAATTTCAGACACTCGAACTCCCGGAGTCCAATTTTCCAGACATTTTGACGCGACGGATGGTCCGAAACCACCAATGACCTCCAGTGGAAACCACCACAACTGCGTCACACGCAATTACGATCGCATAAATGAGCGCGCCAATCTACTGTGGCGGTATCTGTTGCTTGGACTCGTTGATCGTTAGCGGAGAAACACACACGGCCTCCGGGATACCCAACACTGGCTGTGTTTATCGTGCAAGGGTGCTTCACTGACAATCGAAACTATCCACCCAGAAATTTTTGGCGCCAATAAAGTTCCTTTCGCTTTAGCGCTTGTGCTCGTGCGTGCCACTCTGGCTTCCCGCGCAGCGCTTTCGCGAAGCGTTTCACCACTTCGAATTAGAACTAACCGTCACAGACCGATTTGGTCTGCCCACACTGGCTATCTTGAATGTTTACCAGCGCCACCTCTGGAGTACCCGAGGCACCGTCGCCTGCCGTCGCGCTGTTTTGTTTACGCAGCCCACATGGTGTTTGGTTAGCCTAGTGCGTGGTTGTGGGATCGTGTGAAGTGTGCTCTGCAACGCTAAGCCTAGGTGCTTCGACGCTTTTCAGCAAACTCCTTTGTTTACATCGTGAGGATTTCGCTTGCCTGCGATAGCCCCCACTCCGCCTTCATCGTCCTTGCCGATGGCATCGAAGCGCGGAAAACAGCACCCTCGGTTCACGATGGAGAAAAAAACCACCGGACGCATGAAAGGCAGTAACGCAAGACACGCTTCGCAACTGCTTTAGCCACGCGGGCTTCGTACTCGACACAGAGGCACCAGACTTGCCTGAAGAAAGCGACAGCGTGACTGACTTGTGCCCTCTCGTAAACGATATTATCAACGACCTCCGCTCTGCTGGTGCATGCATGCCCACGGAAATAACTTTTTAACGGTTTGTCAATGTTGACAACGAGCTCGACTTCTGTGCAGAGCTAACCGACGACAAAATAGTCAGTCAGGTTATGGCGGATTCAGACGATTCCAATGTCGAAAAAGAAGAACCAACGCCTGCGCCACCTACGACCGCCGAATTGATGCGAGCATTGATGACGCTGTCATCGGTGTACAGTGATGACATGACCCTTGTTCAGATCGAGGCGAATGTGATCACATGCAAGCGGAACGCCGTTCAAACAAGGATCAACAAGTTTTTCAAGCCACTGCGGCTCTAACACCGGCTGCCCTGACGGCACCCGCTGTTGGCTGCATGCATTTTTTTTAACGGCTTTTTTTAGAGCCACCCCACTGATGCTTTGGCAGAGTTGCGCAAGTCTGGTACTTCGACCTTGACCCTCTTGATACCAGAAATATCAATGAAATGATGCATTTTTTGCTTGAATTGAAAATTATTAGTAAAATAATGTGTTTATTTTTTTGTTTGCATTCATTTTTTCCGACTGCCCGAATTTTCGGACGGTTTTTCGCTCCCTAGAGGGTCCAAAAAATAGGCATAGGCAGTTGACTATAGTTTATGTTTATTTTTGTTTGTGCCATGTGCATATTTACCTATATTTCTTTTTTTTGGTTTATACACCAAAAACCCCCATAGTGTCCTCTAGAAATCAGAGAAAAAAAAAAAAAACCTAAAGGGGCACCTTATGCATTCGCCTAAAACAACTTGAAGGCGAGAGTCATTTTGTTTGTATTGCGATAGCAATTACAATTATATCAACACCTCGACTGGATTTTGCCATCTCCAGGGGTGCAGGAATAAATATTTCTCAGTTTTTTGTTTTTTTTTTTTGGGGGGGGGGGGGCCTTGAATTGAAGGGGATGGGCAGGAGGCAAATGGCCATTTTGCGTGATATGTGCCATGGCGAAAAATAAAATATTGGGAGGGGGGAAGCGTTCCCAATGTCTCCCCCCCCCCCCCCCCCCTGGCTACGCCCCCAGCTACGTCACCATCATGTTTTGCATACTGTCCAAATTAATATCACCCTCTTGCGCATCGTGTTATGAAGCTTGCAAGCGAAGGTGACGAACGTAGCTAAAGCCTCTGAGAGATAAAAGAGCTGACATATCTCGTTTGAACGAAGGACAATGTTAGGCCTGCCATCGATTGTTACTCAAGCAGAAAAGAATGCGCCGCCCGTTTTCAAGGAGCAGGAAGGAACTAGGACTGCAAAGGGGTTGGAGGGCCTTGTTATATGAACTTTCACTTTAAGGGTGTGATCGCTGGCACGCTCGCTACTTCGGCAGGCATTAAAAACAGCTGGTATACCCTTCTACCTTGTACTCTTAACGCGAAGTGACTGGGCAAAAGTACTTCGCTTTCTGGAACGGCCATATAGGCATGTGCACTGAGCCTTGATCGCAAGGCAGCCACACCATAGTCCTGCCATTTTGGAGGTCCATTCCTATGCGCCGTTCGCTGTTCATAAAATACCTAGAGCAGCAGAACGCATGCCTGTCGACAATGTTGTTGGCCACGGCTTTTATCTCACGTAAGCTACAAGCTTCCGTTGATACTAACATTATAGCACAAGGACTTAACATGCAGTATGACCATGTTTGTTATCATTACGGCGTCTCTCTTTACATACTTCTGAAAAAAAAAAAAAAAAAAACAAGCTCGGCAGCTGAAGCAGCCGACTGGGCGCTCTAGACAAGTCTGATTCTATCTGTACATGCGTTGGCGTGCAAGAAGTGTTCCGTGGATCTCTAGTCATCCAAGTTGCTATACAGATATTGAAGAACGCGCGTGCAGAAAGTTTGCTGCGAGTGCACGGACCTCCGAAAAGGCAACCCTACCGCTAGTGCACTTCACGAATGACCCGACATCGCGCAAGTCAAAAGAACACTGGATAAAAGGACAATGATCACTCCAGTCGCCAAAGCTGTCTTTGCGCTGTCAGTTATCCGAAAAGCGAAGCAGAGGTTAGTAGCACAGAAAGTTTACAAGCAGTCTCATTACGCTTCAAGATATAGCGCGCGTCAGCGAGTGCGCCCTTCGAGCGAGGCAGCCTTCCCTCACCCACACTCCTAAAAAAAAAAAAAAAGCAATGAATGCGATGCCATGATGTTCCTTTTTTTTTTTAACCGTACACTACTGACCCTGGAAAGCGAGGGCTGTATGTATAACATGGCGTAGCCGCTTCACAGTGGGCCTTCCGACAGCGGAACTGCCAGCGATGGCCTCACTACTGAAAGGTGCATGTATTAAAACGGAATTGCGGCTGCTCCGACCAGGATGCATGCTTTCATTAATGAGACAACACTTAAAAGAAGCATGCGGAAAGTTTTTATTTGGACCCTAGCAATATCGAGTTCGAAAGGGCAGGGTTTTTTGTGGGCTTTTACTGAAACAGGATTACAAACTTGAATTTGCTACGGGAAGGTGTCAATACGTTCCAATCGTTTACGTGTTCTGTGAATGCGAAGCACAGAAAACTAGAGCGCGATGTCCAGAAGTAGACGTGACAGATGCTCTGGCAGCAAGCATTAAGTTATTAGTGAAAGTCCCTTTACATACGTGTCGCGCAACTCTTCAAGCGAGTTATAAGCTGCGTTCCTGGAACGGACGACGTCCGCTGAGGATTCGCCACCGCAGTTTCACGCTACCAATTGGACTAGACGTCAGAAGCCCTTGCGGAGAGCGTATTTGGTCATTAAGCCAATTTGCACAATAAAAGTTGCATCGGCACCAAGCATAAAATCGTGGATCATTCAGGACACATGCGCAACCGCTGTTTATTCAGCGAAATAACTCTAGGCACGTGATTGTGACTATGGTGGTCACGAGAAAAAGATGCACATGTTTTGCCGCCCCGGCATGAATATTGCCGGTGAAACTCTCTTCCAAATCTGACTTCGGCACAGTTTCAGTTGATATTATCAGGATGGTACAGTAAATTTGATTTGGCACACTTCGGCGCAGTTGACGCAAGAATGGGATTGCTTTCTTCGAAGCATCGGCATTATCGTATTTATTTAAACCTCGACCGATAGTTTTTTTTTTTTCAAATTTCTTTGCATCAATTCGGCTTAGATTCGAGAAAGCGGTGCAAACTAGCGCCACCTAGATAGCATTATAGCCGTTAGTAAGCCAACACCTGTTTTAAGTACACACGTGAGGCTGCCATTTTGATCAATGTGGCGAGTGCCAAGGCGAAAGTTCGTCATTTTAGGTTGCGCTTTGAGTGGTCTGTGTGTGTTCAATGGCACCAAAAAGGCGGTGTCATTATAGTACCGCTTATAAAAGGAACGTTGTCCTAGCCGCAGAATGGTCGTTGAGCGTTCAAGCTAGTCAGGACTCTGGAGTGGAGTGTCGCTGAAGGGGCTGCAGCATGACACGACATCCTAGGAACTTTGATTGTGCGCTTTTTTTAAGAAGTGCGGCATATCCAATGCACTTGATGGTGCCGAGCATCGCACACTTTTGAGGACAAAAGTGCGCAAGTGCGAACAGTTGCAAGGAAACTGCAGGTAGATGCTTCGCTTAAGGCCAGCTGAGAACTTACCGTCTAAGTGTAGCCAAAGTATCCAGAGTGACAGGAACAGCTTTACTTATTTTTTCAAAAGGAACACCAAACCGCCTTTAGCGTTTTTTACATCTTTATGACCTCTACCGCTGCGTTAGCTGCTTCTGCAATCGCGGTTTCGCATGCGGCAGTTGCGGAAACAGGTAGCTTCGTTTTCAATCCACATGCGCTGGCTGTTACCTACCTTCAAAACTATGTCGTATTTTGCTGTGATCGCATCTGCCAAGATTTTGTTCGCCGCATTTATGAAACACAACGTCGCTTTAACTGGTCGAGCGTTGAAGGCGTGTGCACTTTCGGAGTTCTGTAACGTCGTCTCCACACATGATCGTGTTAAGAGCGACCACGGTTTCGTCCACAGCGGTTGGGGCAAACGATAACCGCAGTTCTGACAATGTGTGCGCTGACCGAGCGTGTCCTTCTGAAGTTTCGAGCACTCTGCTCCCGGCCTTGGTTCCACGGTTTCGGCACTAAAGCACATATGACCCACCACAATGAGGAAAAGAGCTTCAGAACACCAGAGCTTTGGCCCAATAGACATAGTGAAACTTGGCTGAGGAATTTCACGAATTCGTATATCTGCTATTTCACATCATTGAGATTCTATTGTACGTTTAGATGATTGCCTCCTAAATTTGTCCACAATAATATGCGATGGGTTTGCAAAAAGTTTGGATTGGATTGGGCTGCATTTTTTGTCAATGTAGCCAGATCACACAAAAAAATTTTAATTCCCGCGAGATTTTCCTTACAACCGTATAAACTTAAGAACTAGTCAAAATTCGGGAAACTTGGCAGATATGCCGATCTACCACATAAAGGAGGCCGCAATGTCGATTGGCAGTGCTCATAAAATTCAAGGATTTTCAAGGATGGGAAAAAATTCCAGGACTTTCAAGGGCCTTAAAAATGCATTTTTAAAATTCAAGGGTTTTCAAAGTTTTCATGAGCATCTACACAACCTCATTCTAGAGATATCAAAGGTTTAAACAAGGGCAGATTTATGGTGCTCGCTTTCCTAAAGCAAAAGTTGTCAAGTCTCTAAGTTCTCACTTGAATGAGTGAGGAAATGCACCTTTTTTTATTTCAAGGTTTCGAAAAATTCATAACCTCCCAATGCAGCATGTGGCACCCTATTTCAAAAGGCTCGATCACACTGAAGGTGAAGTCGCAGAGCAAGCTTTTTCAAAGAAGCGAGGTGGCAAGTGACACCCTGTTCAGACCACACGCCTCCTGCAGCGGGGCATCTCGTGCATGGTAGTGATTCTTCCAAAAGGACACCGCCACATGGCATTCTGATTGGCTGTGACAAAGCGGTAAAAATTCCGTCACCCAAGCGATCCAGCTGACTGCCTCGTTTCGCCGCATCGATAGGAGCTTTCTGCTCCGTTGTGTCTGAAGCGTGCTGATTTTTAACAAGGCAAGGATGATCATAATTGAGCGTGGCAAAGCCAAGAAAAGCTTCTCAGAATATTGTTAGCTCATGAAAAAGCCAAACAGGCAAAATAGCAACAAACAAAGCACCGTTAGCTAAAATGATTATTTCAGATGCACGAAAATTGGTGAGGTTATGTGTGAGTGTTGGCAGAATTCAAAAATATAATTTAGAAAAAACCAGATTTTGGGCACTTTTTTGTTTTTTAATAACATATTTAACTAGACATTCAGCACCGGCGTGGCTCAGTGGTAGACTACTGGGCCAGCGTGCAGCGGACCCGGGTTCAAAACTAGACAAATAAGCGAATAATTGAAATCCCCCCCCCCCCCCCCCCCCGTACACAATTACATATAAGTTCACAGAGTTTCATAAAAAAACAACTAAATATAGCAGTGTCTCTCCTTCATAGTGTTTGTTCACATCAGCTCTATTCACCTCAGTTTTAACAGAGTAGGAGGCACCCTCCCTTACCTTGTCCATCGTCTCCGTGACAACAACATCAATGTCTCCTCTCATGTGCCACGACAGGACAGCAGACACATCATCCTCTTCCACCCAAGCAAGGTGGCCAACCTGTGAAAATCATCATGGGTAATAAACAACATGCACACTGACGTGAAGAAAAAAATGCTATTCGCAAAGCTAAGGCATTAAAAAAATCAGTTTAAAATTATTTTCTTAAACAGTGCCAATCAGCAACAAGAAACTTCAGGCCTGTTCAAAACACACAGCGCATGAACAACATGAGCTGGTGAAGTAGCCTACCAAGAGGCCAGCATAAACTCTTTTAACATGCTCACTGAAGGAAGTGGCCCTACGTATACTGTTTAGTTGTGCATAAATCTATTGAGATACGGTCAAGCATGCTTTCCGGATAGATAATATGGTGAAAATAACACAGTAGAAACTCCTTATAATGAAGTGGGATATAACGTACTAATGGGTATAACAAAGCAATCATAATTCCTCTTGAAATTCCCATAGATGCCCATGTATTTAAATTCTCATTTTAACGATGCTAAAATTTCCTCACAATAAATATAACGAACCCTTTTGATCCACGATGGCCATTTACTGATCATTTTGTATCCGTCAAGTTAATTTCTTCAAGCGCGCAGCGGTTTACGCGCCAACACGCATGTGGTGATACAAAACTTGCGCTCTACGGGAGTTGCGTGCCAACACGAGCAATGGTGCGCGTCTGCCTGCCTCCCCTTATATAAGCTACGGAGCACATGGACCCACCCGCTCTTCTGCACAGTGGGATCGGCAACCCGCGCATGCATGCGCTTCATGCGGCCTTCCCCTCTCCTGTAGAACTTATGGACGCGCCCTGCTCTGCGCCACGAAGGAAGTCGCTTCCTTCCTTCATGGCTGACAAGCATGCACGTCACTGGTACCTCCCGGCCTCATCCTCATGCCCACATCCCCTTGCTCTTTTCTCCCGTCGAATGCGTGGAGTCCTCGTGCCAGCCCGCTCTTTTGCTGCACCCTTGTTCAACCTGGTTCAACTTCCGTTGCTGCTCATAATTCACTGCGTGTACATCAGAACAACCAAGAACACAGCGTCTCTGTCGGTTGCCGCCACTACATAAGAGATGGACGTCGGCAACGGCAAACGAAAGAGCCAAACGTTCACAACCGAGCAAAAGGCGGCAATGTTGAAAGTTGTTGAGTCCGGTGTTATGAAGCAAAAAGTGGCCAAGGATTTTGACGTAGCGTTGAGCAGGCTGTCGATTTTGAGCAGCAGAGAAGCTATCACCGGTGCTGTCACATGTGGCGTCAAAGGAGACAGGAAGAAGCTGCAAGCCCCTGCCTTCGAAGCTGTAAAGAAGGCGCTCTTCAAGTGGTTTTTGGAAGTGCGATGCTCGCATGTGGCACTCCGGTGAGTGGGGCACTTTTGCAGCGGAAAGCGAGACTTCGCATGTATCATGGGGCAAGATGATTTTGTGGCGAGCGTCGGCTGGCTACAGTGCTTCAAGGAGCGCCACAACATCATCGGCAGGGCTGTCAGCGGGGAAGCGCAGTCTGTCGACCGTGAGGCTACAGTGGTGTGGGTGGAAAAAAAAACGTTGGACATCTCCTTGAAATATATACAACGCCAAGGATTTATTTACTGAGGGCGAAACAGCCTTGTTTTATCAAATGCTGCCACAAAAGCCCTTGGCCCTCAGAGGTGACAGATGCCAGGACAGTAAGCAGAACAAGGTCCGTGTGACTGTGTTGCTTTGTGCTAACATGGATGGATCTGAAAAGGTGCCGATCCTTGTGGTTGGCCCAAGTGCATCACCATAATGCTTTAGAGACAAAGGAAAACTCCGAGTGAGTTATGTATCCAACCACACAAGGTTTGGATGACGAGATACATTTTCGCGTAATAACTGCACGAGTGGTCGAGTGGCTGGGCAAGCAAGAGAGCAAGATATGCTACGTCCTGGACAATTGCTCGGCCCACCACACTGCCATTGTACTCAAAAACATCGAGCTGTGCTTTTTGCCTCCAAACAGTACTGCAGTAGTACTACCCCTTGACCAAGGGATGATCATGAACTTTAAGTCGGGCTACCGCAAGCGAGTAATCGACGGAATTCTTCTCAAAACCACAATCGACCTATACACGGCAATCGAGATGCTACAGGCTGCTTGGATGTAGCTAACGTGGTTGCTTGGGCGAGTCATTTCTAGTACATTGGGCTCTTTTAATTGTTACACCGTTCAGCCATGTGTCATCGTCACCATGTATATCTATGCCGTGTGCAATGCCCGAAAGTTCTCTTTTCTTGTCCGGTCAGTGCCGCTGTCTGTCTCCTTTTTTTTTGTCCGTCGTTATTGTCGCTGTTTTTTATCTGCTTGGATGGCTGTAACTACCAGCATGATCGCCAACTGCTTCCGGCATGCTTCATTCGGAGTCAGCAGCGACGGCTGCGGCAAAGATCTTGTCGCCAATGAGGGTGCCACGGGCGACCAAGCCCTTGCGTCGTGGGACACTCTTCTTGACGCCGGTGTTGTGCCCGACTGCGACACCTTCTGCACGTACGTCAGTGCTGATGCTGACGCAGTGTCCACTGCAGAGTTGACCAAGGCGGATAATGTGCGCGCGGTGACGGGGGGGGGGGGCACTTAATGATGACAGTGACGAGTGTGTCGATAATGGCCCAAGGGGCGAACCCGACATACTGACGTCCGGCCAATTGCTGCTGCCACCACCGTGCGAGGGCAGGGGCGGGCCTCCGCTACGGCTGCGGTCACTGTTGCCAATTGGCGGCGTCAGCTGCGCCGCCGCTGGGAGGCGGCACTCAGAAGCGACGAGCTGGCCGACCAGCTTTGGGCAGTCCAACAAGCTGAAGATGCCACCCGGGTGCAAGGACTTCGAGCGGTCACCTGAGGCACCACCATCATAAACGACGGAGAGTGGGAAGGGACGGGGGTGAATCTTCCCCCACCTCGCCCGGTAAAACTTGTGGAGATAGGTTTGCACTAGGCTTACCTACTAAGCGCAACCGTGTAGGGATGCAACGTCTTCCACTGCCGCTGCGTGCGAAGACGCTGCGGCTGGGTTCGTCGTTTTTTCCGGCATGGCGCAGAAACCACGCACGAGGCAGGATAACAACAACAACGGGTATATTAACCCAAGATGCAGCACAGTGCGACACTCATGGGCTTGCAGGCCGTATAGGGAACTCCGCAAGACCGAGCAAGTACGCTTGCCTAGGGCGCGACGACTTCCGCACAAGTGTCAAAGTCGAACGCATGAACGAGAAGCCGCTTGCTAAGCAGCGCGTCAACCTCTCGTGGAGGCCTGAGAGCATCTGCCGCGACGAGCGAATCGTCGGGCGCAACATAGCTCGTAGGAGAGGAGGATGTCACGCTGCGTTGTGACGTAGGCTCGCGCAGCGTGCCCGGACATGCCAGTGCGGGAAGGAGCCGACGGTTGACTGGCCCATACCAAGAGGCGCCCTGGCAACCATCTTGGCAGATGCCGGCGCTTATGCGCGCCCGGGCTACGCTGTCGGCGCGCGTGCAGCAGCTGGGGAGCGAGGCGCCAGATAGGAGGGTGCTCTCGATTCCCACAAACTGCCGGACATTAAATAAAGTTTATTCTTACATTCATTCATTATCATTTCAAACCGGGTCAGGAAGTTCAAAAGCGTTCAATCTTTCCTTCAAAACAAAACCGAAACACAGCAATAAACGAAGCCACAAGTGCGGTTCCCCACCCGCAAGTACAAAGACTAAGCAAGTATATGTACTACCCATCATTCCCATGGTCGCTGAATGATTGCAGTGCCACAGTCCCCTCTAGTTAACTATAGGGAACTCTACGGCAATACAGTAAAACCTGCTTATAACGAACCTTTATATAACGAATTCCTCGATATAACGAAGTTTTTCTATTCCCCACCGTCACTCCATAGAAGCACATGTATTTGCGACATCTATGTAACAAAGTTACTGCGGGAGACAATCTTGATATAACGAATTTTCCCCACAGACAATCTAGGAATTTTGCTTCGCATTTTGGCATTTTGCTATGAGCATGCATCTTCAGCGGCTGCCCCGCCGCCGCCGAAGCGGCGGCGGCGGGTACGCAGCTTGCGTCCGCGTGAGGCGGGCAGGCGGGACTGCACCCCACGAGCAGGCGTCGCCACTCGTTCTCAGCCCCCGCCGCGGTCGCATGCGCTGGTGTGCCCCCCCCCCCCCCCCCACTCATAAAAAAAAAAAAAAAACTACTTTTGCACGTTGGCACTGCCAAGCTTTTAGTTATCGTCACATAAGTGGGGCCCCGATGCATATGGAGGGCACTTTTTCTAATAGTTTTGCCGCGATGTCCGTGTCTGTCCCTGTGTCGTTCGAATTTTGTTTCCAATGCTGTCTGCGCGTGCATAGTTTCAAAGCGCGTGCATGGTGTGTTCCCTCCCCAACGACATTCAGGTTTGGTTGTTTTTTTTTATTGCGATTGCAATTATGTATATGAACAGTCTCAGCTGTTGTTTTTTTTGTCCCTTTCATTCAACCTATATGTAAAAAAGCCGCCCGCGCTCAGCGCCCAGCTCGTCACGACGCGCCGACGCGTGCCTATCTCCCACGCGTACTTTGCCTTGCGAATGCAGGGGGAGTTAGATGCTTGTGCTCGCGCGTACATCCTTCAGTGGGAAGAATCGCGCGCCTCTGACTTTGACCGGAGCGATTGAGCTTGCCGGGCGCTCAAAGATCACTTCACTCTTTTCACACAGTCCCTTCGCATTGAAACTGCATTGATACTCACCGAGATAGCAAGCGTGCCAGCGATCGCGACCACCCTTAAAGTCCAAGTTCATTATTGCTACTTGAGCGTCTTTTCCCCCCCCCCCCTCCCCACGTTGTTTCATGCTCGTTTAAGACAGGTGGTTTACTTTCTGTTTGAACATTTGACGGAAGTTCTAACACGCGGGAGATGCTATGCACTTTCCAGGCGATAGTAATGGGCTGACTTATTTGATCTCTGCTTCAGCAGTGCTCGCACCCTTTTACCCGCTCGTTAAAGTTATTATGCGTGGGGGCGTGTTATCAATTCGGACTTGTTACAGCACATGGCGACGACAGCAAAAACCCACCGAGAGTGTCCATATAATTGCTATCCCAATAATAGCGCAATTTTTTACTGTAAATAAGTCTTTTGGGGTAGCTCTGCCTTCAATCTCCCTTTTGTTTGATTTATGTGTTTATTTTCTGAATTTTTGTACCAAATTTGCATATAACTAAATCCTCTTTATAACAAACTTTTCCCGGAATTTATCAATTTCATTATATTCAGGTTTAATTGTAGTGAGCACCAAATGATGTCTAGGTTGCTTTGCAAGCCGATCACCGTTGAGCTATTGGAGTGTGATGGGATTGACAACCTCACAGCAGCTGAATGGAACCCGGTGACTGCTGCTGTGAAGGTGCTTGTTCCACTTGCCCAAGCCATGACAGAGCTACCTGGGGACAAGTATCCCGCGTTGTCTTAAGTCGATCCGTTGCTAGAGTGCACTAGCATTGTACTAGCTCAAAACACAGCTCAGTCAGACAAGACAGTGGCTATTGCTGTAACCCTGGCACGTAGCATTAGGGCAAGGTTTTCTGGTGTCAAGACATCACAAGATACAGCTCTAGCGATGTTCCTGGATCCAAGATTTAAGCATGCCTATAACACGGAAAAGGCCAAGAAGAAATGGATCGGCACTCTTCTCACCAAAGCAGCAGAGGGCACTTTGGAAGAGATACAGCTCAGTCAGACAAGACAGTGGCTATTGCTGTAACCCTGGCACGTAGCATTAGGGCAAGGTTTTCTGGTGTCAAGACATCACAAGATACAGCTCTAGCGATGTTCCTGGATCCAAGATTTAAGCATGCCTATAACACGGAAAAGGCCAAGAAGAAATGGATCGGCACTCTTCTCACCGAAGCAGCAGAGGGCACTTTGGAAGTGATACAATGTGAACCATCAAGTGAGAATCAGACTGGTTTCGATAGCTCCAAATATTCTTCTGTGTGGAGGGCCTTTACTAGCTTTGCTTCAGATGGCCCCAAGAGGTCTAGTCCTTCCATCAAAGAAGATGATCTCCCCTCCTTCGCCGCAGTGAGAGCCCACTTGAATGGTGGAAGAACACAGGCAGCCACCTTCACCCATCTCTTGTGAAGATAGCTCGCAGGTCAGAGCCCACCACCCAAACAACAAGTTATTTTCAACAGTGGGGGCCATTGTAACCTGCAGAGGGGAGCACCTTCTTCCACAACATGTCAAAGAAGTAGTTTTGCTGCATGAGAACTTTTGACTTATTTTATTTTTGGAAAGGGACAACTTTAGTATGTGATTACTTGTGATCATTTTCTTCACCTGAAGCATACTGATTTTCTAAATTAAAATAAATAAGAAACTTTTGAGATTTTATTGCTGCAATATTTTTTTCTGTGTTTAACCTTCAAACTTAGACAGGACCTTTTCCAATGTTATCAAAGCTTCTAGTCCTTTCTTGTTTGTTGAAATATGTTTTCTAGGGACTTTCTGTGATTTATATTATCTCAGAGTAATTATTAATATATATCTAGAAGGGAGCACTTTCATTTACCCCTAGTCTATAGTTCTATTTAATATATGTTGCCAAAAGATTCTGTGTGATGGTTTTTACATTGTGACCTCGGAAATAAAGGATTTTCGCTTAGAACTTTAACTGTTCACTGTTGCTCTTTACACGACTGGCAACTATTTGAATTGGCTTTGAAATTATTCCACCTTGAAGGCTATTTGTTTTGAACCAAAAAAACCGAAATTTAAGCTTGTGTGAATATTTGAATGGTTCGAATATTCGAACGAATAGTAGAGTATTCAAATTCACTTTGATTCGAATTTAAATTATTGAAAATTTCGAAGTATTCGCAATGAATAAAAAACTGTAGATTAATTCGCATGTAACTGCCTGTAAAGGTGGTTTCACTGCAACATAAGAGTGCTAAACCGTGAAAGCATTTTCACAGGAGAAATGCACCCTGCCGGGAGCCTCTTTCAAATTTAAAGGGGCTCCCTGCAACACTTTTTGAGCACGGTCAGAAAACGCTGCCATTGGGTAGTCCAGGCTACCAAAAAAATGCAAACTAGATGTTATAGCGCAGCACGTGGCCTGCAATTCACAATAAATCTCAAAGTGAGCTGAAAATTGCTCTTTTCTCTCGGCAAATGACGCCGCAAGCTCAAAAATCCCTCGTCACAGCCATTGTATCAGCCATGGGCATGGTGTGCTCAGTCGTTCCTGGAACTGCCACTTGTCCACGTGTATGTGCGCATTCGCACTGAAAAAGCCGCGCATAAAACGAACGAGAGAAAAAGTGGCGAAGGTCATGAGGCACACGTGATCTTCCCCCACGCGCTTTTGTCGTGACAAGAAGAGAGAGCAGCATGCAACAAATCTTTGCAACTCCACTCGTACTGGACGGATTCTAAAAATGTTTGCAGCGGTGAATTTGTGAGGTAATAGGTTTCTTTAGTGAATACATTCCATGACTACTTGAAAAAGTGTTGCAGAGCCCCTTTTAAATCAACCTATTATCCTCAAATCAATTTCTCATATTATTAAGCTTAACAGCTTGTTAAGACAGCTTATACGCTAGATATATTGTTTAAATTTTAAAATGTTACGTAATTCCCAGGTTATCACTCGCATCTTACCAAAAGTGAAATCCTGCTACTACTCAAAATTGTTTGACTTCCTTTGGATAAAAAAAAAGGCATTTGCATACAGCCTCTAATTCAATTAAAGAAAAGATATTGTGCTAAGTCAGGTCATGATAAATATGCCCACTTTTCTTAATATGTCATATATACTATTCGAATCCGTTTCGAAATTATTCAACCAAAATCAATATTCCCTTCTAATTCACTTCGAACCGAAAATTCACTGTTCGCACAAGCCTACCTAAAATGTTTCCTTGATTGCTTCCGCGTGTGCGTACGTGCATGCGTGTTTGTGCTTTCTTTCAATAATTCTCTTTACAACCATTTCTATACATGGCATGCTGTGACTTCTGTTAGCACTGACAATGAGCACAGGTACTAGTTGGTTGACTATGCTCAATATGCAACAAATGCTCCAAAGAAACATTTTGGTAACTAGTCGTCACACAAATGGCTAAAGTTGCTGCCTATTCTAGAACAGTGAAAAAAGTTTTTTTTTATCCCTTACCTTGCCAAGTACACCGGGCTCATCTGGGTAGGGTGGAGGCACGTAGACACGCCTGTTCTTATTGTCCAACGCCTGCTTCTGCGATTCGCAGATCTTCAGGGCAGGACCAACTTGTTGCTCCTGAGATACAATAGCATAGACAAACATGAGATGGAAGCACTCTGAATGTAAGAATAGCAGACTGGCCGTGTTGTTTAAGCGCAGCTGGAAATCAATACAGAAAAACAACTAGTGTGTCCCAATTTTATTTCAGCAACTGTGCAGCCGCTACGGCTCGGTCACACACCCTCGCACCACTTTTCTTTCCCACACGCAACGTGATGACAGTGTGCGGCTGCTGTTGTGCGACAGCGAGGCCATCACATGACTTGCCCTCCTAGTGAGTTAGCAAACATTCATAGCCCGATTCACATTGTTCACAAATCCATACGAAGGGGCACCTTGGAGAGCCGTCCACTGCGTGTCTTTGTGACTTGGTGTGTTTAAATGAGCACTAACTTGGAGTTTGGAGTCACAGATAAGGCACATGTAAAACGATGTCTGAATCTTCAATGTGCCTTGGTTTCAATCGATGTGTACTCCGTTTCATACACCAGGTGCAACTGCGCAAGAAGTTCGGTCAGTGATATGTGTGACTGCACGTGTCTCACGCTTTACCTTGATTGTTGTAAATGCTCGTGTGAATGGTGCACTAAAGCGCATGCACAGCATCACGACAGGCTGCAAATAAAACACTAAGAAGTGAGAACAAAGAGAATGTGAGTGATTCAGAACAACTTATTGACAGCAGTTTATTGGGGCGTGTTTACCTCCGATGCACAAAGCACTTTCATCGATTGCCAAGCTCGAAGAAGAAATGAAACCTTATCTCAGGCACGAAAATTATTGTACTATTTCTTAGTGTGAACGCATTCACTGCAAGAAGTCTCGTTAGCCTGCAGAGCGTTCCACCTGATGTATGAAATGGAGTATAGTGAGACGACTTTGTGACGACCACGCACGTCGATAGTGAACCACTTTTTTCCTCGACGTAGCACTCTGAATGGTCTTTTGTAGGGTTGTTGGAGTGGCCGATGAACTGTGTGATTGTGCACAAAAACGTGTGTACTTTGCGAAGGCGCTGACACCCCCTGTAAATTTGTTTGCCCCTTGTAGCGCATGTCTCTTTTGCAGAAGCCGCATACAGGGGTGACAACTATCGAGTGGTAGGTGGGGTTGTGCACGCGAGCGTTTGTCACCACTACCATCACCAAGTTTACAACGGCGGCGCCGACAGCGACGCTTGGCGGCGAGAGGAGAGATGAGTGAGCCTCTTTGGCGGGCGGCGGTCAGCGCGAATGGTTCTCTCTCGTGGGGGTCCCCGGTGCTTGGCACCACAGGATGCGCGCCGGGGGCCCTTGTGGTGAATCAAGAGTTGGCAAAGCCGTCTTGTGTGTGCCCATGTAAACGTTTGTCATGTTGTTGAGTGTTGCATAATATTGTGTAAGGTTGTTTAGCATGTTGATGACAATATATGTTATAATAATTTGGTGGATAATGTCATCGTTCTACAGGTAGTTAAATAAATGTCTGTTTGGTTCGTTATGACCGCGTATGCTGTGTCCGCTCACTCCAACAGCGTTGGTGGCACTCCCCACAGCGAGACCCCACAACTTGAAGCAAGCTCTGATGGTATGGGCACCACGCGTGGCACCGCCCGTCGTGGCATCGTAGTTCGAAGTTTTGTCGTTATGTCTCGAAGCCCAAGTGTGTATGCCGCGATGGCTGTACAACCGTCTAGCAAACTACCCGTGAGAAATTCTCCAGGAAGGCGCAGTGTCGTTCCGCAGACCAGTCTGGCTGAGCAGAAGCTGATTTCCGCCTTGACAGCTGTTTGGATTCCAAATATCCAAATATAATGTGTGGCAGCGCATATATCCAGCTGTGCTCTTCTGCTGTGGTGAGCGCGGACCTAAGCTGGCGGTGGAAACGCTTCACCTTGCCGTCTCTCATGAAGTGGTAGGCGGTTGGTTTGAATGCGAGAAGCTCCAATGAAATGTGCAATGCTGGAAAATAGCTATGATTCCAACTGCCTTCCTCGGTCCGTTGTTATTATGAACGGTGCACCGAAATCAATATTGTGGATGATGCGCCAAAGCGAGCAACCCAGTGGTGCAGAAAGGCGCGGGAAGATGTGTCAGCAGTGATATTCGTTATCGGCACGCCCCTGGCAAAGCAGTAGAGGCTTGACAATGTCGAAATGTATGCGGTTGAAGCGCACGTCTGGAAGCGCCAACTCTGCCAACGGCAGTATGTCGATGAACTTTGGACCGCTGGCATGGTATGCATGCTCTTGATCAGCAATGCATGTTTCGATTAATACCTGGCCAGATGAACCTTGCTGTGAGCAACTTTTGCGCAGCTTTGATTCCAAGGTGTGATAACTTGTGAGCAGAAAGAAAAATGCGGCGACATAAATTCGCGGGTACGAATGGCCCTGACTTGCCTGTCAAAGTGTGCAGCATACCTGATCACCTGATTTCGGAATCTGCATCCACTGTAGTTTTAGGGCTGTTTTTTTTTTTTTCTTTGATAGTAGGCTTTTTAGCTCTTCATCTTCTTTTTGGGCTGCCGCCAGCGCGTTGAAGTTAAATCCTCCTAGATTGTTGATGACATTTATAGCGCTCCTAGACAGGGTGTCTGCAATGACGTTGTTGCTCCGTTACAAGTGGCGGATGTCTGTCGTGAACTCCGAGATGAAGGCTAGCTGGCGAAGTTCTCTGACGTTGTGTGTGCCACCGTCCGAACGCATAGAGCGAAGAGCATAGGTCAAAGGCTTATGGTCGGTTAAGGAGAGACGCTGTACTTGAGACGAAATGCCAGATATTTTCAAGTGTTTAAAAAGAAAATTCACAGTGTGATAGCATTTTTGATGCTGATTTCAAAAATGTAATTACTGTTCCTCTAACCCAATTAGTTTTAGAGATATTCTAAAATTAATTACCTATTGTTTGCCAGTATAATGACACAAGAAATTTGTATTGCAGAGCTACTATTGGCACATGCCTGTGTACTAATGAACATAAGCTACACAATGGTAGGAGTTCTTTTTGTTTGATAATTTTAGCAAGGTTTGTCGCACCTTGCATTTTAGTGTTGCAGACACACCCACTTTATGCTTCAATTTCTGGCAAAAATAAAATTTCTTGAAGATCTCAATCAAAAATTAACACTTACCATTGTGCAAACTAAAAATACAGCTATATGTCACAATAAAAATGACAGTCCTAGCTGCTCTGGAAGCATAGATATCTTTTAGACAAGTTTGCAACAGCAGCAAAATTTGAATCCTGCCTGATAAATCATGCAAAACCACAAGTTTATTTTGGCAGACAATAGCATGAAAAAGCTGTTTATTTACAATGATTTGCAAATTCAGCTTTCTCATTAGCCACCAGGCATGTAGTCCTTCTGTTTTGTGTCACCTAAATGGCGTTTTTTCAATGCCCGCTGCAAGTTGTCCGCAGAGGCACACTTGCGAGCTGATGCGCTCGTCAAGTGCTTGTCTGCCAACTAGGCCACTTATCAGTTCAGTGACGCCTATGTGCGACGAATGTGCGTGCGTTATCCGCAATCCGTCGTATAATAAAGCGGTTTTCCGGCTTGTCCAGATTGAGTTGTTGGTGTCGCAGACCGAACTCTTGCACTCGCTCATCGATTTCAAGGCTCCAAGAGCAGCGAGGTGTTAGTTTTTCTTTTCGCGTAAGATTGCCACATTTTCCAGTGGAAGCCATGGCGCAATATGTTCATCGTTGCAGACACGTCGTTACAAGCACTCTACCAGTTGCCAGTAGCCTCCGTTGCGCGGGCGGCGAGCACGTTCACCGTAAACAGATTGATTTTCTGTTGTTAGCCGACGCGCGGCGAACTCCACTCTGCCGACTCGTCACGCAGTTCATGTTAGACAGGGGGAACCCGCGGCATCGGCGCATTTAGTGATAAGACTGCGCTTCCATTCTATCGTTGCAAAGATCACTATCTCTCATAGCTTCACTTCTGCATTTTTACTTGTTGTCCTGTAACTGTTGAGGCTCCAAAAGACTGCCACTCTCAGCGATGTTGTTGACAACCGACGGGATCGTACGCGAGTTAGGCCTAGACCGGTGACTCGGCGACTGTCGTTGAATGCCGTGAGTTTGCTATTCTCCCTGTCCTGAGTAATAGCGGGGCTCTTTCTGAAGTTCACAGCGAACAAACGATCGCCACACCCGCTTCAAAAATTAGTGCGGCGAAGAACTTCTTTACTGCGGCAGGTAGTCGACAGCACCATGACAAAATGGCACAAGTTCGTGCGCGTCACGATGAAGAAGCAGACGCGGGAAATGCCACTTGGCCAATCAGGTGCCTAGGTTTTTTCATGTGCCCCAAGCGGCCAATAGAACCGCAAGGTGGTGCTTCTCGATGACGCGTTTTTCCTAAAAAACCAATGAGCAAGGCGAGCCACTGGTGGCGAGAAATTGAAGATGAAGAATGACCCTTCCAAACGAGACCAAAATGACCACGATAGCTCAGGTGTAACGGCAATGGTTCGGCGTAGAAAACGCGTTACTTTAGCGTCCATTTGTGCTCAGATTCATCTCACAGGGGTGTTATAAATTGATTTTGTGCCAGAAATAATGACGCCAGAAGCTAGAAACTTCTCAGATAAGTGCAAAAATAGTTGCATATTCCGAAAATGTCAACTTCAAAAAGTCGGGTTTTTTTTTTCGCGATTTTCGGCCTTTTAAGACCCGTGTCCCCCCTTAAGACGAAGAACTCGACGCCTTCAAGGAAATGCCTGAAGTTGCGTATACTTCAGTACACTACCAGTAGTTTGCGCCCGAAGGTGCAGTTGCAGTGCTCAGTAGGTCTCAATTTTCTCGAGAAGATGGCGGTTGGTTTCCAGATGCCATCGCTCAGCTGTTGCAACATGGCACTGACAGCTATGTCTGAGGCATCCACCATTAAACACTGGCGAATTCCTGGCCGTGGGTATGCGAGGAGAGCGGCATTTGCCAAGGCCTGCTTACTTTGGTTGAAAGTCTTTATCCCTTCTTCACACCAAGGCAGGTCGTTTGAAGATCACTGCATTTCCTTAAGAT